ATGAAACGAATAAACGTCAGGCTTCTTTACCCAAGGCCAATGCCTATCAGTGTACATTGGATTCTCTCTCCTACTGATCATCTGACACTTTGCTCCTGCAATGATCTTCCTGTCTCCTGCTTCTTCCATTTTCCTCTCTCCACTGGATCATTTCCATACGCATCACAGTGTGCTATAATACCTGCCTTTAAAAAATATATACAAACCTCACTGATGCACATCCTTCTCCAAAGGTCACCTATTGCTCTGCTCCCTTCATGATAAAATTTCTTTTGTGTACCCCTGCCATCCCCATTCTTCTCTTTCTCTGACCCCTTGAGCCCTTTCTGGTCTTTTGTTGCAAACGGAGAATCATTTCTTTAACCTGATGTTAATCTTCAGAAAACATTTCTCACCATCAGGGAACTATTTGCCACAAGTACTCTCTGGCATAGGTTGCCCTGAGCCCAGGAGGCGCTAGTTCTAGTGCCTGTCTGATTTAAGGTTAGGGTGACCCAGGTCCTGTGTATACTGACACAGGCATTTGATGTAGGCTCACTTGGAGAAGACATTCCAAGTCTCCATCTTACACTGGGCCTTTTTGTGATCCAGTATCTGAAGCTTTATTTTCTACTCCAGTGACACAAAGAAATGTGTTGTGCTGGGATCCCCTCCTTGTTCTTGGTCCCAGGACCTAGGCATTACTTCCGATGACCAAAGTTTTTGTGTATCTAAGCTGCCTGAACTGTTCTTTTAAAAAAACATAAGGATCTCTTTTGTGAGTTATCTTCCCAACTGTGGTAACTAGAAAGATAAGTGCATAAGAAATAGCAAATAAATTAATTTAATAGGTATTTGTTAATCAACTGTTCTGTTTTGGAGTAGGGAGCAAAGGAAGCAATTTTGTGTCTACATATATCTTATAGGCTAGTGTCTGTCATCTTTCACCTATTTCTATGTATGTTCTAATTTAATATCTACCAGAGTCTATATTATAATGTTCTTTTTTTTTTTTTTAATGATGGGGCAGAGTTGTAATCTCAGCTACTCAGGAGGCTGAGGCAAGAGAATCATTAAGTTCAGTGTCAGTCCAGAACCTAACAAGACCCTGCCTCAAATAAAAATAAAAATAAAAAGTGAGGATGTAGTTCAGTAGTAGAGTGACACTAGGTTGAATCCCTAGGACCACAAACAAGCAAATGAGCAAACAAAATAAAGCAGCTCAAATGAAGTGAAGGAAAATGTGTCCTGTGGCCAAACCCTTTCCCCCTACCTCAAACCATCACATTTTTGTATTTATTATTGGTAGAAGAGGCCCATTCGTTTATGGGTACAAATGGATCGTGATTTTCAATTTTGTACATGCTCCTCAACAGTCATCTTACCAGACACAAAGTCATTATTATTATCTCTATATCACTATTAAGGCATCTCCGTGTCAGAGAAGCGACTTTCCTGAGGTCAATCAGCCACTTGGTGGGTGAACTAGAACCTGAAGTTTATACACATTTCTACCCTTAGATTGGATGGTACTATAGGCCATACAGTCCATAAAGGCCATGGTTCACCAGGTACCCAAAAAAATAATATGAACATCCAAGTTCTTTCTTTAGCTATGTTGTTTCATAGGTGCACTTTTTGCCTTTGTGGTGACCACAGGGAGTAACACAATCCACATCTTCCTGTTTTTGTTCATCTGAAACTCAAAATGGTGACTGTGTAAAGATAGCCAGTCACCATTTACATCCTGAGCAGTTGGATATATGTGATATTGTTCTTCAGTTCTTTATTAAGTACTCATCTGTATCACTTTATTTCCAATTTCTAGTCATACATAGTTTCATTATTCACGAGGCTATGGCAATATTTATGGAGAGACCCACTCCTTGGAAGTTGTTATTCTAAGCATCTGTAATCACACTGAGCTCAGATATGCCATTACTAACATGTAGCCCCGACATAACTGTTTTCTCCAGTGCTTAAACTATTCCTCAGGACTTTGCAATACATGATGCAAAAATAATAACCTGTAGGGGGAGCTCAAGGCTTCTCTCTAATCCCTCTGGGGTAGACAAAACCGGGGATGATGAGTTGAGGGCTAAGATATTACTGGGCCTGGGTGTGGGCAGGTGGTCTTTGATGGTGCATAGCCTGGAGTTAGAGGCCTCTGTGTAGGAGTCTTTTTTAATATATGCCTTCCCTTGGAAGGCAGTCCTTTGAGAATTTTCCCATGGAGCTGATATCATAGCAGGGGCCCTTCCCACACTTCAGGAACCTTGGCAGGAGCTAAGTGAGGCAGGAGAAAAGGTGACTCATGGGCTTACATTACTCTGGAATTTCAGTCAGGGGAGCAGTGGTACCCTGTGCCTTGCCACCTTCCCAGCTCTGCTCCCCAGTTTCAGGGATTCCACACAAGGGGGAGGGAAGATTGAAGTCAAGTCTATGGATGCATCTGAAAGGGAAGGATTCTGTCTGAAAGTCTCCCTGCAGGACCCTCATAAGAGCCTGTTAAGGCTGTCTGTGGCTACAGTGGGCTAATTTTGTGAATTTGGGCACGAGGAGGTCTGATTCCCCTCTTCATTAGTAACGCTGCACAAACCAACACGAAGGTCCAATTTATGGCATAGAAAATGAGTCCTGACAGAATATGTTTGATATAAACATGAATACTATGTTTCTGCAAATGAATTATAAAATTATATATTGAGGAAAATTTCAAGTGAAGCATTAAGGAACAAGACAAAAATGCGGTTTATCCAACAAAATGAATCCACAAGGCTTAGAATCAGGGTGCAAGCCCTGCCCTGGGGCTCAGGTAGCTGAGGCTCCTGGGCTTTCCCTTAAGAGGCTCTGGCAGTGCTACATGCTTCAGGGGAGAGGTCCAAGGGGGCAGAAGAACCTTCTGGGTGAGAAGAAGAGAAATTTTTGTCTTCCCTCAGTTTAAATTTCTTCAAGACAGAAACTGAGAGGAAGACAAAAGAGAACGTGTGTGGGTGTGATTAGTTCATGAGGTGGTCTCAAGAAGCACAGATGATGGCAGAGGGAATGTGGTGTGGAAAAGGTAGGAAGATGAAATACGTGCTGATGAGAGAGTTAGCACTCAGGGCACCTGGGACTCTGTCTTCGAAGAGGCCACAGAAGACATGGGACCCACACCTCAGAATCAGCCCTCTGGAGAATGTGATGAGATAGAGGACATTACTCAGGTGTCCCTTGGGCATCAGCTTACTTGGACTTCCAGGTTGTACCTACAGTTCTGCAGAGCAACGTTAGGAGGGAAGAGCAAACTTGGGGTGGGAAGCTGTCACTGTGCCACAGGTTGTCCAAGACTTCAGGTGACTCAAGACTACTGAAGGGCCATGAGATGAGGCATCACCAACATCTTCCTATCAAAACTGAGACTGGTCTAGGTAGCTTCCAAGGCTGCCCTCAGATTTTATGTTCAATGATTCTCTTTGTATAGAGTTGCCTGTACCATGACTTTCTTATTTGTGGTGATACTGAGCTGGCTCCTCTGTGGAAATAACTCGGAAGACGCTTGATAACCACTCGGAAGGAATGTTCTAACATCATGTATGTGAGTGGAATGAGAGACTTTCAACATTCTGTGATATGTTCCTTGGAAATAGACCCTACAAAGAGGATTATGATGCAAGTGATTTATTGAGGAGGGCCTTAGGGGATGGGAAGAAGCAGGACAAAAAAGTGAAGGAAGCCAAGGAAGGGCTCCATGTCAGGGAAAGTCCCAGCCTCAGCCTGCTCCCACAAGGGAGCTCTGGAGTGGAAATTACACCTCACATTCTCTTATGGCTCCAGGCAAAAGAGTGGGCTTTCCATACTCTCCTTCAGTTATTGACTGAGGGCCAACCCAGGGGAAACCTAACCTTCCAGACATTTTCCAACACATTTTCCACAGTTGTGGGCAGAAAGGATCCAGTTGCCTGAAGACAGACTTTGGAGGTGAACAGGTGTAAGCAGTTAGAAAAAAAAGCACCGTGAAGCTGGAGGAACGCTCGGAAACAGTGAAAGGCACTCGATAAGACACAGTTACCAGGAGAGTGGTAGTCACACTTGTGTGGGTGCTGTTTCCATTCAGGTACAGATTTACAAGGATGAAGCACCGAATGCCCTGTCCTTGGCTCCTACAATGCTGAAGGCAGTTGACACACAAGAGTCTTAGCACAATAGAGCGTGAACTCCCAGTATCCCACGGTGCTGAAGAGGGTGACACCGGGACTGTTTTGTAAGATGAAAATTCTACTTTCAAAGGTCTAAAAAGAATGACCCCAAAGCTGCACACAGACTGTGGGATCTTTTCAAATGGAAGTAGATTTGGGACTAAAGACAGTAAAAATATTTCTGAAATGAAAGGATAAATCTAGCTATGCAGAGATACAGCACAATGCCATCATAAAAAATCCACTTTTGTCCCTGCCACAGCCCTGAACCTCCTGTGCACTAGATCAGAGACCCTGATAAATCTGGGCTGCTAGAAATGCCAACCAGCTCATATGTTTTCAGTGAGCAATGACAGGGAGCCAAATTGCTTTATTCCGATTAGGGAAGGGCCTCTGACTGTAAAATATACTGTGTGAAAAAAATATTGAGTTTTAGTTCGCTGACACATCAATTTAAGAGAGTTATGGCTCTCACATGGAGGCCAAGCAGGTATCTCCCCACATGTATGTGCAATAAAAATTAATTGTGGCCTTTTATACAGGGCACTGTTCTCACTTGTAGGATCAGAGGGTGACCTGAGTGTCACCTCCAGTGGCAAGTCACAACAGTGCAGGTATTGGTTCTTTTCTGGGAAACCACAGAGGGACGCATTCAAAATCTGTGAATGAGCTTCATGTAGAACTTTCTGAATTTAAAAAAATGCACCCATTTTATATTCATATTTTTCTTAAAAATACATGTACCTGTGTTGTATGGGAACAATGTATATGTACTATCAGGTTCCATTAAAAAAAAAACTTTTCCAAAGTCTTTCAAATTAATTCAGGAAATTGGTTACACAGGAAATGGAAGAGCAAAAGTGCAAACAGAAGGATGAAGCAATCTGGAGATTAGTGACAACCAGAAGCTCAAGGGACGTAAGGAAGAAGTGGATCCATGGAACTCAGGAGCTAGAACCATCCACATGGAATTTCATCAATGGTAGGTACTCCCCAACAGAGCTGTGGCCACAGGAGGAGAGGTTCTCTGGGGACCTGCTCTGTCTCTGCTATCAAATATGCCATAAGAAGCAAAGGCTGAGGAGGCAGAAATTCCCTCGGTGCTCCCTTTCTCCTGCCCTCCAGTCTTCCACTAGTGCTTCTCACTGGCCAAACTGAGCTGGAACACAAAGGGCAAGGTAGTCTGGGAAATGTAGTTTCTTGTAATATACGGCATACCCAGGGAAAGGATAAAGGTTGGATCTGAGAGTAGGGAGACATTTGATGGCCATAGTACATGTGCAAATTCTCCTACATTGGTCTGAATGGCAGCATGGCCGGTCTGTAATAATGCTGAATGTGGGATTTGGAGAGAAAGGTGCTAGCCTGGTGTTCAATCTCAAATTGACTATGGAACCTTCAGGTTGTGTTATGTCAGACTGAGATTGCATAGTGGCAAGTCCCCTATAAAGGCCTCCAGGTGGTGACAGATATGTCACACATTACAAGGATAGTATTTTGTTAGAACTGAGGATAGCAGACCTCCCTTCCTGGTGAATCTACTTCTTTCTCTGTATTCTCTGCGTTGCTGATGCTAAGATAGTAGGCTTATGGCTTTAGGGAAGAAGGCACTGCATCAAGTATAAAGAATTCCACTTCTTCCAAGAGTAGATGGCAAGGGAAAAAGAAGAAAGTCAGGAAAAAACAAAGCAATAAAGTGCCAAAGCCTGGCCTCCCAAAAGGCTGGGAAAAAGTGAAGATCCTAATTATATCTGTGCAAGAAATCCCATAACAGATGGCTTTTACTCCACTTCCTGTTGGGTTTCTGAGAGAAGCTCACTTTGCTGGGGGGGCCCCTGCATCATCATGGATGTGTCAAAGCAGAAATTATGGAAATTTCGCATAGGTAGTCAGAGAGATGGCATTGAACTCATCCCAGCTCTTATGTGACATGAAAATGAGTCAGATGTTCCCAGACTTTCCAATGTGGTTCATGTAGTGGTTGGACTGATGGCAATAGCCAGGTGTTGGCCCTCCATGGAGGGCAGGATGACCCTATATCTGTGGCCTAGGGGAGAAGGAGGAAAGTGATTCCACACAAGCCAGAAGCAGATGAAGTGGCTAGCCAGGGACCAAAACAGTCTGCAGCACCAGCAAGAAGGGAACTGCTATGGTCCGAATGTTTATGTACTCCCAGAATTCAGAGCTCTCATGGGTGAGATTAGAATCCCCTATAAAAGAAACCTCAGAGAGATCTCTTGACTTCTCTTCTGCAAGAGGGCACGGCCAAGACAGTTAATCATCTAGGAAGCTGACTCTCAACAGACATTGAATTTACTATTACCTTGGACTTCCCAGCCTTCAGAACTGTGAGGAATAAGTTTCTGCTGTTTTTAAGCCATCCAGTCTCTAGTATTTTGTTACAGCAGCTCAAACAGACCAGATATGAGTGCCTTAGTTGCTTTTCTCATTGCTGCGAAAAAATACCCGACACCTAAAGTTAAAGGAGGAGAGGTTTATGTAGCTCACAGTTTGTAGAGAGTTCAGTCCATAATCCACTGGATCCAAGGCAGAGTGGCATGACAGTGGAGCAACAGTTTATGGCCCTGGAAGATACCAAAAGCAGCAAGGAAGATACAAGCCTCTTTCTGTCCCTTACATTGTATGCAAGTTATCTGCCCTTAATCCCCAACATTGGAACATGAATCAATCACAAACTCCAGATTCAGCCACCTCTGAAAAGCCTGCCCTCATTCATGTCTGCATGAGGCTTTGTGAGGACATCTAGACGCAAGTCATAGGCATGAGTTTTACCCACCACAGACTTTAGTAGCAAATGCTGGTGCAAGGTACAAGATGTCCTCTTCAGGCTAGTAATTCCTGGAAGCAGAAGTCTTTTCCTAGGAAGCACTTCAGCTACCACTGAGTTAGGTTCCCGATTCAGAGATATAAAAATGCACTCTGACTTCACACAAAAGGTGAACAGCATGAAGACTTCAAATCCTGGTGGGCCATGGGATGACAGTGGGCAGGGAAAACGTGTGTTTTGGCATCACATAGAGTTGGTTTGGTCTCTGGCTGTGCCAGCGTATGGCTGTGGAATCTGGTACATATTCCTAACTTCTCTCAGCACATGTTCATCTTCTATGAAATGTAAATGGCCCCTCTATTGTTAGCATTATTAGGGAAAAGAAAAGTAATGTGTGTAAATCTCAAAATAATCTTGAGCATAAAATGGAACCCTTATGATGGATAGTAATTATTGTTATTAATAGCAACAACAAATATAGCCTGTGTGGTGATTGGCTGGCTGTTCACCAGCTTGCTTCACTGTTCTTCCAGTTTGGAGTGACCATGTTGCTGAGTTTGGGCCAACAGGATGTGATTTAACATATGGAACTCTCATTCCAGGCCTAATTCTGAAAAGCTCCTCTAAAACCGTCCACCCCCATTCATCTCTGATTTGTGGGTCACTTGCAGAGGACAAAATAGAAGGTTTTCAAAACTAGCAGAGCCACAAATAGAGGGACCTTGAGTCCTTGAGTCACTGTTTGAAGAGTGGCTTGCCAGACCAAGAGAATTCACATGGCACTGCTTTGTACAGGAGAAATAGTTTGCATCGCATAGAAGCCCTGGAATTTGGAGATTGTTTATTAAGGCATCCAACCTAAGATAGGTTAGCTCCTCACTCAGCTTCCCCAACTCACTCTATAGAGTTCTTATGAGGATGAATAGGAAAATGCATGCAAGACTGCTTTGAAAGACTAAAAGCTCTCTAAAAATGTAAAACAACATTGAAGATGAAATCAATTTTTCCCAGCCTGCAAAGCATACTGTTAGGAACCAAATGTTTGAGTCCTTCTGAAAATCACATGCAGAAATGTAATCTCCCATGTTTAGAAGTGGGGCCCTTGGGAAGTAATTAGGTTATGAGGTTAGAATTCTTGTGAATGGGATTAGTGCTCTTATAAAAAAAGAGACCAGAGAGCTCTCTTACTCACTTTCCACCAAAATAAGAATACAAGGACAAGTTGACTGTGTGTAACCTAGAAGCGTACCTTTCCCAAAGTCTGACCACGCTGGCACCTTGATCTTAGAATCTTCAAGTTTCAGAACTGTGAAAAATGGATTCCAGTTCTTGGTAAGGCATTCTATGGTGCTTTGTTATAACATCACAACTAAGTCACATACCCATTGTCCTATTTTTCCTATTGCTAGTGCTATAGCATTATTCTGAGTTCTGTGCACTCTTATAGCCACCTCCTCAAACTAGAATGTTCTCTGGGACAAGAGAGTGGAAAATGAGAGAGAAGGATACCAAGACAACTTTAAAGGATCTCAGTGTCTTCCCTCCCATGGTCTCCTCATCTGAAATCAGTCCCTGGCATCCTCTTGTGCTCTGGTTCTGCAAGTGTTTGCCAGTTGAAGCATTTCTGGGGACCCAGGCCTGATTAGTGACAGAAATAGTTCTTAGATTGCTCAATTCCAGGAAGGAAAAATGACCCATTTATCAGGGTCCCCACTGCCCTGCCACCCATTCTCCATTCTGTCTCCCACACAATGGTTAGTACACATGACCCAGTGCACAAGGGTTATAACCAGTAGTGTGGGTAGTAATTTAAGGGTACTTGGAAGGGTCCCCCAATATTTGCTTTCTAAAAGTACCTCTCTTGGTTCTCTGTCTTGAAAGTTGCTGTATTAATATGATTAATACACCTCTGTGATGGGTGAGCACTGAAACGTTAAGCTGGTGTTAACTGCTAACACTGCACCACAAAAATAGTAGCTCGTATCTCTTCCCTTTGTGTCTCGCAGCTGGAAACGAGATTTAGAAGGTGCCTGGGCAGGAGAGTCACTTCGGAGCAGACATCACTGGTCGGGAAAGCAGGACTAGGTGAGATACTACAATAAGCACACAAAAACTGACAAAGATTTCCACGGAAAGAGAAGAACAAAGGAGAAGGTGGAAGGGAGTGAAGCCAAGCAAGGCTACTTTCCCTGGGAGCAGCCTTGACTACCTCAACCTATAGCTGACTGTGTCTTTAATAAAAGAATACTCACCTAGTGTTTTCTGTGTGCCAGACATTGATCTAAGTGCTCTATGTCATTAAAGGATCTTTAATGGGGTGACCACCATTATTAGGTGCTGAGCAACATCACTGGCCCAAGGTCATACAGCTAATAGTGCCAGTGCTAGGATTTGAACCCAGAAAGTCTCACTCTGAAGACTGCTCTCATAACTTCTAAATCATATTCCTTCTCAACTTAATGGAATTAAATCTAGCAAGCACTTTGAGGAGAATTTCATATGAAGCACCATAGAAGTGGGAAAGATGGATGAGCAATACTATCATCACTCTTTCTCAAGGAATTTTGACTGTAATGAAGACCAGCCAGGCAGCACCATGAGGAGCAGGTGAACAACCATGCTGGGCAGTCAAGGCAGGCAGGTACCATCTATGAAACTGCTTCCCAGAAGAAGCACTGCAGGCATCTGGCTCAGGTTGGGGACTGGACTCCTCTCTAGATGAACAAGCACACGGAAACCCTAAGGCCTTGTTGGGATGAGGGCGAGGATCTGGGAACAGGATGAGCTATTGACATTGGAATGGAGAACAAGACGAAAGCTGGAAAGCACTGCTTCTGTAGCAATAATTGTTTCAGCTGTATCTAAGGGAAAAACCTAATACTGACTCCTTGGCTTTCTTTCATCTACCCACTCAGCCTCCCTGACTGTCTTTAGCTAGTCCAAGTCCCTCTTCTGCACGTCGAAAACTATCCCAGGCCCTAAAACACACTATTGAGGCTGGAAGTTTTCAATCATCCTTGGCTTCTGTGCTCCAATTTGACCTATCTTAGTCTGGAGCCAATCCTTGACAGTTTTTAAGCTGACCAGGAAGTAGGGGATCTCTGGGAGAGCATCTCCCCCACCTATCTTCCTGGGTTTTCAAACCACAGTCCTTATTCAAGTGAATCTTTGGACAAACACTCTACAAACACCATCTGCCTAACACCATCCCCTTTCCTTTCTCTTTGCAAGCAGAAATTTAATTTTGTTTGGGAGCAATATGTCATCCTTAGGAACTGGATAGTGATTTGTCTAAGCCAATTGTGACCATTTCCCTCTCCATTTTCCTCAGTCATCTGTGAAACTAAAAATGTCACATGACCCAAATCATTGCAGCCAATAAGACAGAAGAAGATTCTGTGTGTGTCAGTGGAGGGGAAGTTTTCCTTCTGATATAAGTCTAGAACATCTCTCCTTCCACCTTCTCTTTTTTTAAAATTTTATTTAAAATGAAAAAGAGAAAAAACCAAAACAAAACACAACAGTGTAAGGGTACAAGTAATTCAGAACTACAAAAAAAAAACCAGTAAGAAATCACCAGTTAATAGATTACACATTATCATATTAGAGATAGTTGTTCAAGTCACAGGATCAAAGCATACAAAGTGGACATTCAAACAGTGAGACTGCAATCAGTTGTGTTCAATGATCCAATCAAAAACATTAATATGGTCAGCTATTTAACACCCCTAAACACACTTGCAGTTGTATCCTTTAGAGCACTTTTTTCCCTCTCTTTATTACAACAAAATTTACACATTTTGGGTTTTATTACTCCCATAGTTCTTATTACTTTTTTTGGAAGGAAATAAAATCAAATATGACCAAAAAAAGCTGTCAGTCAAAACCAAGGATAGACATAGCACATGATGTAAAAACAGAGTACAAGGTTATCAACAATGGTTACCATAATGCCTCTTGCTTCCTTAAGAAGAATTGTCTATCTCATTAGCTATTATAAAGTTGAACAAAACAGTAGGGAAAAAGACCAATAAAACCTAAACATTGTAAACATTACAGGACTTCAAAAGAGGATAATAGTCAAACCAGAATGGGCATCATAGTGAATCTTATTGCCTTCAAAATAGTTGCCTATACCCTCAAACTGATACTATCATACAGAATGGAACAGAGTCTAATCAATAAAACAAGATAGTGGGAGTATTACAGAACTTCAAATCAAGTTAATAGGAAATCAAAAAAGTTACTATAATATATCCTGCTAATTTTTTTTTATTTTTCCCCTTAATTAAAAAAGTAATAAAAAATAATTAAATAATTTTTTAATGAATAAGTGAGCGATTGAGATAAAAGAGGACATAACAACATAACAATACAGGTCAAAGCTTGACAGTTTCAGCAACCTAGTGCTTCACCACCAAATAACCCAACTTAATAGTAGTTACCATAATGTCTTTTTCCTTGAAATATTTGAATATAACTTCATATACTATAGCATCAAACATATCAAGACAGTGTAAAACCATTCAAGTGGATGAAAGCATTGTAGGGTATTTAGAACCAGCTAACAGAAAACCAACAATGGTTTCTATATTATCTCTTTGCCTATAACAAGTTTTGTTTATACTATCATATAAAATCCAGCAAGATACAACATGATAAAACCAATGGAGACAGAAGAGCCATAGTTTGGTGGGGCTTCAAAACAAGATGGTATTAAATCAGCACTAGATGTTATGATGTCTTGTATTCTTCAAAATAGCTGTTCATTTCATCACAGTCAATAATATCAAGCAGCCCAGAATAAAGGCACTCCAATTAATAAGTGAAAAGTTTATAAGGCTTCAAGGCCACATAATGGAGAATCATGACTACCACATACTTTTATATATTTGAATCATTACCTACACTAGGGAAACTACTCAGTATTCACACATGCGAGTTTGATTTATTTCACTTATGAGTATGGTTTCAAGCTGCGTCCATTTACTGACAAATGTCTCAATGTGATCCTTCTTTATAGCTGAATAATACTCCATTGTATAGAAATACCACAACTTTTTTATCCATTCCTCAGTTGATGGACACTTGGGTTGTTTCAAAGATCTAACTATTACAAATTGTGCTGCTATAAACATAGGTGCGCATATATCACTGTGGTATGATGCTTTCAGTTCTTCTGGGAATATGCCTAGAAGTGGAATAGCTGGAACAAATGGGACTTCCAATCCCAGCTTTTTGAGAAATCTCTAGACTGACCTCCACAAAGGTTGTACCAGTCTACACTCCCACCAACAGTGCAGGAGAGTACCTTTTTCCCCACAGCCTCTCCAGCATTTGTTGTAATCGGTTTTCTTGATCCTGGCCATTCTTTCAGGAGTGAGATGGAATCTCAGTGTGGTTTTAATTTGCATTTCTCTAATGACCAATGATGATGAGCATTTTTTCATGTATTTATTTGCCATTTGTATTTCTTCATCTGAGAAGTGTGTATTCATCTCAGATGCCCATTTTTGGATTGGATCTTTGAATTTTGGGGGTCTGAGGTTTTTTTTAATTCTTTATATGTTTTAGACAAAAGTCCCTTGTCTGAGGGGCAGTTCATTAAGATTTTTTCCCAGTTTGTGTGTTTTCTTTTCACTATGCTGGAGATTTCTTTTGACGTGTAGAAACTTTTTAATAAGAGGTTATCCCATTTATAGATTCTGGGAAGTATTTCCCATGTGGTTTGAGTCTGTTCATGAATTCTCTACCTACCCCTATGTCTTCAAGGTTTCTACCCAATTTGTCTTCCAATAGATTTAGTGTTTCTGTTTTAATATTCAGATCTTTTTTTTTTTTTGTCTTTTTACTTTTTATTGGTACCAGGGATTGAACTCACGACTGCCTGCTTGCAAGGCAGGCGCTTATGCCATGGAGCTAAATCCCCAGCCCCTAATATTCAGATCTTTGATCCATTTAGATTTTAATTTAGTACATGGTGATAGACATGGGTCTAGCTTTAGTTTTCGGCAAATGGAGAGCCAGTTTTTCCAGCACCATTTATTAAAGAGACTGTCATTCTTCCAGTGAACCTGCTTGGCTCCTTTATCGAAGATAAGGTGGTTGAGTGTGTGTGTAGCTGTGGTTGTGTCTTCTAATCTAATCCACTGATCCTCGGCTCTGTTTTGATTCCAGTAGCATGCTGATTTTCCTACTGCTGCTTTGCCACCTTCTCTTTATCTGCATATTAGACTTGCTTCTATGCTTCCCCCTCCCCCAGCTCATAACTTCAGATCCAGCTATTCAGGTTTGAGAAAAGCTGCCTGATTATGTTTTCTCTTACTATTCTTTCCCAAAAGGTGATGGTTCCATCATTCTACCTCTGTATGTCAGTCACTCAGGCAAAGCCAAGGGCCATTTCCCACCAGCCCACCTGCTGTGAGTCACCAAGCCTTGCTCATTTCACCTCCTGACTGTCTCTTGAATCACTTGCCTCACCATCACCAGAGCTACTGCTTTAGGTTCAACCCTCAGCCCACCTCACCTTGATTGCTGCACTAGCCTCCGGACTGCTGGCTGACCCCACCTCTGAACTCTCCAATCAGTCCTCTGAAAGTCAGCGTGAACCTCATTTCTAAAATGCAAAACTGAACAGCTCATTTCTCTGCATAAAATCCTTCCATTGCTTCACCAGGGTTTAGTTTAGGCCCCTTTTACCTGTCCTTTAACAGAACCTTTGGACTGTGGTTCCTGCCTACTTAGTTCTACCATCCCAAAAAGGGATGTCCTACTGTCCTGGTGCATCAAGTGCAGCACACGCATGGGACTGTCTCTGCTTGAACATGCTATTGCCTTTGCGTGAATTTGCCCTCCCTCCCTCTGATTCCTCTTCTGTAAGTCCTAATTGACCTTCAAATTTTACATCATTGTTTTGCTCCTTTACGTAAGAAGCCTTCTCAACTCTCCTCCTCTATTTACTCTGTCTTCTTTTTGAGGTCTTTTTCTCTAGTATCACTTTATATACTGCTCTGAAATTTCTAGATATTTTTTAGGGCAAATGTTCACTTAGATTTGCTCGCATGTTTATCAAAGTTCATTGCTCATCGTTGCTTTTCACCTCCTACAGCTTCCTTCTGGGTTTCATTTCTGGGTTTTATTTCTGAAGTAAATCCTTTAGTAATTCTTTCAGTTAGGATCATAAGTGTAAATTTTCTGACTTTGTTTAGAAATGTCTATATTTATTTTACTCTCACTTTCATTTACTTTTAGTTATGAAAAGTTCAAATATAAAGAAAAGTAGGAAAATAAAATAGCAAACATGCATATTCTCCATCTGAATTTAACATTTGTTAATATAT